GGCACCTCTGCAGCTTCAGTATAGAAGCATCAAGCCGCAGCACGCCCCCCTGCAGCAGCGGGAGGTTTGAGGAGGCCCCTTCTAGCGGCAGCAGCGGGGGCAGCAGGAGCTGCTTGAGGGTTTCCCACTGCTGCCAGCGGCGCTGCTGCTGCTGCGGCAGCTGCTGCTGCAGCAGCAGCTGCTGCTGCAGCTGCAGCAAAGGAGATAAACGCCGAGATAAAAATAACACCAACCACGGGCCCTCACTACTACTAGGAGGAGCAGCTACCACACGAGCAGGAAGAGGAGCTTGCGTCTGAACACAAACCCTAAACCCTAAACCCTAAACCCTAAACCCTAAACCCTAAATACCTTAACATCTAAAACAGAAGATGCAGCAAAAACAAGAATATCAACCACCACAAACCGACAACAGCCCCCAAAGGAACAGCAGCAGCAGACAGCAGCAGCAGCAGCAGCAGCAGACAGCAGCAGCAACAGCAGCAGCAGCAGCAACAGCAGCAGCAGCAGCAGCAGCAGCAGCAGCAGCAGCAGCAGCAGCATACCTGCAGTATATCAAAGTTGAATTCGAATGCGCTGACTTCTCTTTCCGCGATTTCGTGGATTGTCTGCAGCTGCAAGCACAGCAGCAGCACATCACCAAGTTGCTGCTGCAGCAGTTGCTGCTGCAGCAGTTGCTGCTGCAGCAGGTGCTGCTGCAGCAGTTGCTGCTGCAGCATATAATGCTGCTGCAGCAGTTACTGCTCAAGCACCAGCTACTACTGCTGCTGCTGCTGCTACTCCTGCCAGTGCTGCTGCTACTGCTGCTACTAGTGCTGCTGCTGCTATCTGCTTTGCTGCTGCTAGTGCTGCTGCTGCTACTGCTGCTGCTGCTGCTGCTGCTGCTGCTGCGTACGCATTCATCCTGGTGTTTGTCTCCGAATGCCTGCAGCGCCAGCAGCAGCAGACAAACTGCTGCTGCTAGGATAATAAGTACAGCTGGGGAGGAGAAGAGCTGCAGCAGGGGTTCTCTAAGGAGCAGCAAGTGCTGCTGCTGCGTGCGCATGAGTTGCTGCTGCTGCAGCAGCAGCAGCAGCAACCTGCTGAACCCCACTGCAACACCCAAGCTGCAGCAAACCCCAACAGCACCCAGCTGCGGCAGCCAGCTGTCTAGACTCTGCGGCAGCTCACCGATGCAGCAGCTGCTGCTGCGGCGGTGCTGCAGCAGCAACTGGCATGCTTCTCTTAACCGCAGCGGGAAAGACAGCAGCAGCAGCAGCAGCAGCGGCAGCAGCACCCGGTGTGCTGCAGCAAGAGGCAGCAAACACAACTCCACGCAGACAGGGGCAAATAAATATTCTAAGCGAAGAGGTGGTAGCATGCATTCTGCTTCTGCTGCTGCTGCTGTTGCTGCTGCTGCTGCTGCTGCTGCTGCTGCTTCTGTTGCTGCTGCTGGTGTTGCTGCGTCTTCTTCTGTGTCTTCGGTGCTGTTGCTGTCGCTGCTGCTGCTTGTTGCAGGGGTATTTGCTGCTGCTGCAGTTGCAGCAGCTGTAACTGCTGCTGCTGCTGCTGCTGCTGGAGAGCAGCGAGAAGCAAACAGCAGCCGCAGCAGCTCAGCAGCAAAGAACAGCAGCAGCTGCAGCGCGAAAAAAGCAGAGAAGGGGCAGGCAGCACCAAGTGCTGCTGCTGCTGCTGTTGCTGCTGCAGCAGGAGCAGCAACAGCAGCAGAACCAACTAAAGTACACAGCAGCAAGAACAGCTGCTGCGCTGAAGCGAAGTACGAAGCCGCTGCACATACACCACAAAACCCTAAACCCT